GCTTCTGCCTTCCAGTGATAGCAGTCCGGGGCATTCCTAACCTGTAGATCAGTACCTGGCGTTCCGTTTCATACGTTCTTCCTGTTTGTGTGGCTGTCTTCTCTTCTTAATTGAACACCTGTCATGTTGGTTTGGGGCCCACGCTCCTGGGCAGTATGATCTCATTCTAATTACTTTTGTACAGATGCTATTTCCAAACAAGATCACCTTCACAGGTACTGGAGAATAGGACATGCACTTAACCCTTCGGAGGAATGCAAACCATCACACATAGTAAAAACTTAAACTGTAGCTGAATCTGAATCTTGGCAAAACATTTTGTGATCCTCTCAAAGTAGGGAGGATTTGGGGAGCTGCCACAAGCCCATTTCTCACCTTCTCATTGAGGAGCGCTGGTGGCGCTGCTCAGTAAGCACTGAACTGCTAATGGCAAGATGGATGGTTTGAAACCACCCGTGGTTCCACAGGAGAAAGATGAGGCTTTCTACTCCAGTAAAGAATAGTGTTTGGACAGAGATGGGTGAAGAGAGACAGAGGACGGTGTAAAATATGAAAGTAAAAATAATTTATAAATTATCAAGGGTTCACGAGGGTGGGAGGGTGGGGGAGAGAGGAGAAAAAGCCGGAACTGATACCAAGGGCTCAAGTAGAAAGAAAATGTTTTGGAAATGATGACAACGCATGTACAAATGTGCTTGAAACAATTGATGAATTGTTCTAAGAGCTGCATGAGGCCCCAATAAAATGATTAAAAAAATTTAAAAATTGTTTGGGCTCAAACTTATCTTCAAACAAGTAGCCATTGAAGTGAGGCATCAACTAAGCCCATGAGAAAGAAGCACATCAGCCAGTGTGACCCAAGGATTATAAATAACACAATCCAAATCTGGAGGAGGAAATGGTATCAGAGTTTAAATTGTGGACACTTTGGTTTGAAGACTGGTTTGTAGAAGCCCCAAATCCATTTGCAGGCTCCCCACATATATTAAGCCTAAAGTGAATGCCCACTGAACATAGTCGACCATACAATTAGCCTTGTTATCAAACGGTATTATAAAGTTGATTATGGCAGATAGGTTAAAATGTAATCTGGTCTCTTTTTTGGCCCATTTAATAGTTGTTTCAGTTTAAAAATGTAGGGGAAATACACCTGAGTTAAGTCTTTAGTGAATCTCCTCTGATCATAGATCATCAGGTGAATCACCTTGGTATATCACACAAAATGCAATAGAAAGTGGATTGCAGGTATTGTTGGGTTAAAATTTAATATCATTTGACCTCCTTTTTGATCCACCAGTAGTTTTAAAAATATATTCGTTCTTTTTGATTGAGGTTTTTAGTTTGGGGC